TTTATTTATTTATTTTTGCTTGCTTGTATTTTGTTTGTTTTAGTATGGTTTGGTTCGGGGCTGAATTTTTTAAAAGGGGGGAAAGGGCTGAAGGGGTGGAGCAATAAATGACCTATTGCACACTAGTTCTCTGAACTTTAGAGCTTGGGAAATACCACGCCATCGGGGAATACAACCGAAGTCGTCTTGGAAGGAGTCAAAGAAATCTCTTCCCTGATACCACCTGAGCAAGAGGCAGATTCGCAAACTACGAGTACCAATATTTTGTACGCCTCAAAATTTTTTTATTTTTTTTTGGGGGGGGTGTAATTAGATGAAACTGCTGGATAGGAGCATTATTGGAAGAAAAAAAGGAGGGGGGTGTATTTTGTATTCTCAAGGACATTCAAATATTTATGAAAACTGTTGGTTTGGTTGATTTTAAGTGAGATATTTTTGTTAAAACGTGAATTCATATCTGATTCCCTTCGAGACTCCCCCCCACAGGTGCTACTGGCTGAAGTATCGTTAGGCCATACCCGTCTGGACTTCTCTGTCGACATCCACCCTTGGCGCTCATATGACCTTTGGCAGTTGCGAGCGCCGTAAAACATTACTAAAACTAAACTAAAGACTCCTTTAGTCTCAGATTCTAGTCGTCATGCCATATTGAAAAACCAACCCAACACAACACATCGCAACAATACAATACACCACAATACCATACGATACGATACGATACGTTTCGATGCGATGCGATGCAACACAACACAACACAACACAACACAGTGTAATGCAATACAACAGATCGCAACAATACAATACAATGCAATACAATACAATACAATACAATACAATATAATACAAATGTGAAAACCACTGGTTTAAGCAGGTGCACCCATAAGAAAAAGTATCTACCTAGAAAAGTGGCCCTGAGCAAGATATCCTGCAAATTGTCTGGAAATCTGCTTCCCTCAAAGTTTTCAAATAGGACATAATATTTAAAAATCAACTCCTCGTAATGGGATGCTTTGGATTTAGCCGTGGCTTCGCTATATGTTGTCACACTCACTGGTGGTGATGTATGTCTCTATGTATGAGTGGATTGTGTGTGTGAGGGGGGGGTGCATGTGTGCGTGTATGCGTGTATGCGCGCCTGTTTTTGATATTGTATTTCATGTTTATCTTTCTTTGTAAGTTTTTATGTGTGAGTGGAAAAGGGTGGGGGGAGCGTACATTTTTGTGTCTGTTTATATA